GGGGTGAGGCAACGAAACGGCAGGCGCTAAGGAAGTGAAGTGAGGCAGGGAAGAGGATGAATGAATTTGGACTATAAGTCGCGCCGGATGCGTGTGAAGCATGAGGGGAGTAGCTATGGCGGGAGTTAGAGTTGCTTACCGCATCGAATCCTTGATGGATTTAAGTGGGGAAATAAGTAGGGATGGGTTTTTCGGGGCGGGCGACCCCGAATATATTATCAGATTAGGAAAAAAGTTAGTGTGATTAGAGTTAGATAGGAAAACAAGTGCACAGTGATGCCGAGAACGTGGATACGGCGAAAGGAGAAAGCATAACTTACTTGTCTCGTGTTAGAATCGGGCCGGAAAAGAGGTTGGACTAAGGTTTTTAGGCCGGGCGAAACTGAAAATTATGTTAGTTTTGATGATGCATTAGTAAATGGGGAGGTTAGTGGAGAAAGAGTTGCGCTAAAGTATCGAAGATAGAAGGTATGTCGGGAGTTAAAGTTATGTAGCTCACCCGTTCCTTGATGGAAATGGGCGAGCAAAGAAACTAAACTAAGTCTTTCATGTCGGACGATTCCGATTTCGAAGTTAGTTTCAGCAAGAAGTTAGTGGTATAGGAGCTAGTAAGAAGAATAGCTACGCGGAGAGATGGTGGAGGTAGATACGGCAGAGGTTGAGAAGCAAAAATCTCGATCGATTCTAGATGGAATATGACGAGCTAAAAGGCTAATTAGGGGTTATGGGAGACCGCGAGTTCAATGGCGTGGTTGGATTCTGCGGGGAAAGTGCGGATTTGGTGTTATACAATTCGTAGGCTGCGCCGGGGTGAAACGACCAAGGCGCTGAATGTATTTGGTTGTGATTTAAAGGTAGATTTGTAACGATTTGTGCCCGTACTAATGAACGTCGTAAGGGCAGTGTATCCTTCCGCGTTCTAGCGAAGGACTCGTTGTGACTTTACTCATGTAGAGAGAGAGAGAGAGAGAGAGAGAGAGAGAGAGAGAGAGAGAGAGGAGATGGAGTAAGTAGGGGGTGAAGGTACATACCTTGTAGTTGTATACGTATTTACTCAGTCTGTTTTGTTAACGTACACGTATCGGGGTGACTTTGCAGTTAGGTGCATTCATGCACTTAGAAAGGGAGAACCGGTGCAACAGAGTGAGGTTGATTAGTCGTACACTCCAGCCTGTCATCATGATCATTATCAAGGTCGTAGGCTTGATCGACGTCATCATGTTGTTCCTCGTAATGATCAGGCTCATTGACATGTTCATCGTGTCTGTCGTCTCCAGCCCACGCTTGATGCAAATTTTCAGCAGGTGTTGTTGTGTTCTTCACATCAAGGCTGCTATTTTGGAGAGGTTTGCTGCAATGGTCCGCAAATTGTTGTTGTCTTCATAACAAGGTGGTTGTTGTTACATCAGACAAACTGTTGGTACTGGTAGTATGTAACATAGTCATTGTGCTGCTATCTTCCGGAGGTTAAGTTGCAATTTATTTTTCTCAGACAATTGTCGTAGTTTCCTGCATTATAAGGATTGACGGGATGGGAACTCTTCACTAGATCTTTGGTGTTGGTACTATGGTAATGGTGATTGGTTGAGGTCCGGTTGAAGTTGGTCGGGGCGGCACATCTGTTAGGAGGTAACGCAGATGTCTAAGAGTGAGAAAAGAGGATAGTTGTAGGTTGAAGTCGTGGCAGTCAGACTCAAACAAACTATTGTGATCATGTTTGAGGAAACTGTTGTTGCCTGTTCCGGAAGTTGGAGGCGGCAAGTTGCCATTACTGTTTGACCTTATTGTTAAAAGATTTGTGCTGAGCCGCTGAGAACCCATTGCTGTTGCGTTACCCGCGAGCGGTACTGCGCTATCTTAAAAGCTGCTATGTCCTTACTCCGTTGCTGCAGTTATCTCAACCAAGCGGAGTGACTACAGGGGAGCAACGGGGGTTGAAAACTCGATTACTGGTTGGTATGCCACTAATCTCAATAAGCGAGGTGGTGGGGAGCGAGCTAAAAAAGTGGCAGGTCTGTCTACTGGCCCATACGCTGTTCATTCTACCATGCGAGGTAGTTGGGGGGACGCCACAAGCTTGTGAGTTTATCTACTGACAGGTGTAAAGCTCAGCCATTGAGCGAACCTACAACAGACCAGCACAAGGACTGCAGTTCTGTCTGCTAGGGGGTGTGTCGTTCATCCCATCAGCCCGTGCAGTGGCAGACCAATCACGAAATTGCAGACTTACCTGTGACTAGTATATTTCGGGCCACAAGTTGCGGACAGACTGAGCTCGTTGGAGAGAGGTTTTGCTGCGATTATTGGAGGTCGTAAGATAATCAACGATAGGCAGTTTGATTTCGTTTTTGGCCGAGTTGCTGTATATTTTGGCCGCCATTTGCGGGGTCCTCAGCCGCATGAAGATATCAAGGCCCTCTCCTGATAGTTGAGTTGTCCCCTTCCTGTATCTCGAGAGTTTGAAACCCCTTATCTTCTGCCATTCTTACTCTAAGTCTGATCCAATTTTGAGAGGAAGGCGACAAGCGGGATTGCAACCGGTAGGACCGCAGCAAGATTCTGTGGGGAGTCTGGACACCGATTGCGGGAGCTCTGCCGGAACTCAGGAGGAGTTCTGGAGGTAGGGAACTGAAAGGTAACCATTGTTTTCCTTCTATAGACCCAATATAACACCTATCTGTACTTCTTGCGATGGTTGACTGGGTATATTGCCTGCATCCTTACGTTGACTTTCAATTTGACTTCATGACACAAACCAGACTAAATAAAAGAAGGTATGCGCAATGTCAGTTTCAATTTCAGTTGTTTGACTGAAAGCAAATTGTGTGATTGCATCTGGGGGAAGGATGAGAGGAAGGCAATATTGTTTGTTTGGTTGGGTCAATCAAAGGCTGGGCAAATCTCCACAAGTTTGGGGAGGCCCAGTGCTATGTTTATTTTTGATTGCCTGAAGAACCAGACATGTTTCCATAAGTTTGGGTAATCTGATTGCTCGGATTTGTGATGGCTGACTGTGAATGGCGTTTCAGGGACCAAGCATGTTCCATAAGTTTGGGTGGCTTTATCGCTTTGTTTACTTTGGGTTTCTTTCAGTTTCTTCCTGCTTTGGCTTTAAGAGAAACAACCAGGCTGACGACCATACATGTTCCATAAGTTTGGGTGATCTTGGCCTGGCTCGACAGGCCTAACCGCTTGCATAGACCTCAATATGTGTCGTTGCAGATCTGCTTTCACTCCTTTCTAAAGCCTTGGCAGCTTCTTACCCTGATGTGAGCGTTGTTCTCCACTGTGTCCTTGATATGTTGAGGCAGTATTCCCCAGATCGTTATCGATATACCACTGTGCTTGCTATGTTGCTATGGTGGATCTGATGGGATCTCACGAAAAGATCCTGTCTCTGCCTCACTCCGCGCCCAATTAGCCCTAATCTCGCTTAAGCCCCTAAGCGCTTAGCGCACAAGATTAGCGCTAATTTTAGCGCACCGCCCGTCGCCGAGCTCAAAACCGAAGTCTTTGCATGCAAGTGGTGTTTTTTTTTTTTTTTTTTTTTTTTTTTTACAGGTGGTGTCTTTTGTGTCACGGTTGGAGGGGAGGAGCGGGAGGTAGTTCAAGCTGTAAGCGTGTGTTATGTTGTTTTTTTTTTGGGGGGGGGGCGGGGAATGTGTGTTATGTGTGTGTGTTGTCATATTCACTATACACTCAAAAAAAAAGCATGACTGTACCAGACTGCTCCGTCGGACTTTCAATTCATCACGAGGTTGAACCCTGTGTGTACGTATCCCTGGGGCAAGGTCCCACTTGCGCCGATTAGGAGATTTCGACCGTTGATCTTTGCTATCTACGGTCAGTGTGTGTGTACGTATCCCTGGGGCAAGGTCCCACTTGCGCCGATTAGGAGATTTCGACCGTTGATCTTTGCTCTCTACGGTCAGTATCTCTTAATTCGTGCAAGTGGGACCTAGCCCCTGGTGAGTGTGAAATCGAATCCGTCTTGCGAAGTTTAGAGGCCGGGCTGCACTACTGACCAGATTCATAAATCACAAAAGGTATGGCGGTGTGTATCTTTCCATCTACTAGCGAAAGATTCGTTGTCATTTTGCACATTTGGCTGAGTGGTGGACCGAGGAACTAGGTGCTAAGTGCTAAGTACTAATCGCCGACTACAGTAGGTGGTAAGTACTAAGTACTAAGGGCCTCGGCACACCACTCTCGAAATGTGAAAAGACGAAAATGTGGCGGGTGCATCTGGCCATGTCCTAGCGGGAAGTTCATTCTCATTTTGCACATTTCGAGAGTGGTGTGGCGATGCTCTAAGGGCCGACTTTTGGCGTACGAACTCGCGCGCGCAAGTAGTTTCAAGTTTCAACTGGCAAAAAAAAAAAAAAAAAAAAAAAAAAAGTTTCAACTGGCTGCAAGTGGGGAAGGCTGG